AAATGTTGATACTTTTTCCATATTAGAATCAAATTAAAAAGAAATTATGAAGTTGGAGGTGAGAGATTGGTGGAGAATTGTACTTTAAAAAAGTATGGATATTTTGATAATTTTACAAAGAAAAAGAAAAGTGGAAAAGGGTAACAAATTAGAATGGAATGGGTCACAAACTAGGTTTTTTTCAAAAGGACGTCATAAATCCCAATTTCCCATTTGTGACCCACCTCCCCTTAATTTTGACATCTTTAATTTTTTATCTTTGGGAGAAAACGAATTTACCCTCATGGTTAATAAATATGCATTCATGATATATTAAATTTTCACCTAACCATTCCACCAAACTTTAAACCCATGTTTTACATATGTTTTGAAATTGAAACACACGATCCAAAATCCTCACACTATCCAAAATCCTCACAGATCACGTTTTTAAAATCCACTCAAAGAAACATTGTTGTCCACGTATTTGATCATCGTCCTCATAATATCCAAAATCATTGTCCCTACATTTTCACTTTTGAAAAATTAGGTACGTTACACTTACAATATTTGTACTTTAAAATTGCTGAAATTATTTGAAATTTTTCCTCATTCGCACATTCTACTGGAATTGACTTCTTGAAAAGAAAAAAAAATGTTCAGATCGTTGTCCCGGACCAATACCTGGTCCAGGATTGAAGTTAAATTGCATCGGGATTGAATCCTTGTGCATCCTTATTCGGGGCACGAGCCGAGACACATCCCGAACTATTCCCGAACCAGGAAAGGTCCGAGACATGTCCMGGAGTAATCCCGAACCATGATTAGTTTGGGACATGTCTCGAACTAGTCCGAGACGGTTCAGGATGACAATTTTTTTCCTTTTATTATTATTATTTTTAATATTTTTTTTCTCAACGATCAATTTTCTTATCTCACTTAGTTTTATTCTATTTGCAGGATGCCTCATGTTTTCATAACATTGGGTGGAGAATGAAATGATAGTGAAAAAGATTATGTCGGCAGTCGTACGAGAGAATTGACAGTGGATATTACAATCACCTACGGAGAATTTCTAGGTCACGTGTATAGATTGAATAATAAAAACCCCTACAGTTTGATATTATTATAATATCAAACTGTATTGAATGTATGTGGGCTGCCAAAAGATTTGAAAATCGTTTGAAGGGGCTGTTCTCTCAAAGAAGTCTGGGGCTACACAGAAAAAGCCTCTCTCAGGTGGCCCAGTGGACTAGGCGGCTGTCCTCCTTCTTTTGCGCTGTCCAAAGTGGTCAAAATAATCTAAGAATATTTTTAAATCAAAGAATAAACAATATTAGGATTACTTGCAAAAAAAAAAAAACAATTTGAACAAGATTTGATGGCCCAAAGATTTTCTCCAAAATTGTCTAGCTTCAAATATAGAAATTTTCGCTGCAGACCTCGGATGGCTGAAATCTTTATGTCCCTAGAAAGCTCTTTCAAAGACTTTTAAATTAGCATCTGATTTAACTATAAACAACAAAAATGTCAGAGAGATATAAATCATCGAAGTTGGGAATGTGTTCTCTCGGCGGCTGCAGGATTTTCAAAAAACTTGATAACTCCCGAACAACAGATCAAAAATTATTGATTCTAAGCTCTCTGAAAAGCTAACTCAGAGATCTTTCGAATGACACCAGTTTCACTCAATTTGGACTTCGGAGCAAAAAGTTATGAATTTTTTAAGTCGGCTCTCAGTTTGTGCTCTCTGTAGGTTTCTCTCAAATTCTGGAGTTCGAAGAAATTTTTTGAACTTTGGCTATGGGGCTTGGATTAAATTGAAACTTGATTTGTTGAAAAGCTTTTGAGGTACTGAACACAAACAAACAAGTTTTATACACTTCAAAGTAATTTTCGAAATCAGAACTTCTTATGCAAGAATGATAGAATAAGTTTGGCACGCGGAAGAACAAGAACAATCGATAAACTTTTTATAAGATTTTTGAATAAGGGAAAGTAGAGACAAGACAGAAATCTAAATACAAGAAAATAACATATATCCCGGTCTAGAACCTAAGCTCTGATACCAAATGATACGCTACACCCCAAGCATATTGAACCACTCAAGCCATAAGCCACTTGAATCTAATCGTAGAGATGGTTTAACCCGAAAGGCTAAGAGTTAGAGGGATGACCTTTGCAGTCGTTACCTTGAGCAGACAGAATACGCACTATACTCGAGGTCGGAAACACTCCACGAGTTTGATGACCAATCAAACAAGCATGCTCCGAGGGTAATAATAAGGATTTCTAAGTTCAACCACACAAAGGAAACGATATTTGGGGGGTGGGGGT